GGCGATTGTTCTGATTCCAAATTATTCATTCACTAAAATGCTTTTCCAACTTCGCAGTTTGAATATCTGACTACTGATTGTAGAAATACTTATGATTACTTTGAAAAAAAAGATCGATTTCTAGAATTTATACGTAAGACACGTGCACAATGCCTAACCACTATTGGGTCATATACTTATTTAAGAAAGGACGTGAAATTAAATTAGTGTATAAAATGATTTTCTGAAATAACGTGTAATCAATTACTGCATTGACTTTCCCAACGTAAAAATAAATTAATCTTTAATAATAAATAGTAGCAAAAAGATTCTTAGCAAGAAAATATGGAAAAATCTAAAATTATTAATAAGAACTAGCAAAAATCAACCAGCTTAGATCGAATTTGAATTTCAAACTAATACAAGTTGATAAAATATGCAATTTTTATAGACAGCAAACTCAATTTTTGCATATTTCAATGCTAAGATTGAAATAAACTGAAACTTCAAGAAGTTTCAACCTAGCAAACTGTTCTCGTGAACGAAATTCGCGCAGAATGATCCTTTATTTGTTTTTGAGAAACTGACTAATTCAAGAAGCAATTATAATTATAATGGTATCAAATTAGTACTTAAAGACTTATTAACTTAAATAATTAAACTGATTTCAAAAAGTAAGTTAACTCGGATAAATCATTCAATTAATGGCAGACAAATTTGTAATTTTTAATTTATTTACATTTTATGTTTTTTATTATAAATACGAAAACATTCAATCTTTACGTGTAGAGAGCATTTTTTTTCTGCACGGCAATGTATAGTTATATAATAATTGCTTTGTATTCATTTTTTTCAAAATAATTAATCTAAAAACACAAATTTCAAAGTTTTTCAAAAATATATGCTGCTCTTTTTTCAGTTTTTTCAGCAATTTTTTTATTTTTTACTGAACTATTCTTCACTTAGTAAATATGATTTTTCATTTAATTCATAAATTAGGCAAAATTTATATGATAAATTTGTTTTATTTTTCAACTTTGTTTAAAAAACAAATTTTATAAATTTTGGAAAAATTTTAATTTTTTTAAAATTTTATTCAATTGTTTATTTTGTAAATTTGAAATTAATGCACTGAATTTGCCTAAAAATATGCAATACTGGCAACAATGAAAATTATTGAACACTGAATTCATTTGATTATAATAAAATATTGCTCTTAACTGAGAATGTAAAGAAAATTTTATAATATGCAAAGTTTATTATTAGTTGTAAATTTGCTTCTGAAATTTGGTTATGTTATTGCCAGAAATTACCATAAAAGTGAGATTATGCTCCTTCAACTGCGCAATGTTCTTGTAGATACCGCGCCCATATCTACCAGAAGAGCGGCGATTTTGAAGCGGGAAAAGTTCATAACATGCACTTGGCAGTTATCGTACCCTATATGAGAACTATGTACAACCTCGAAATCATTTTGTTAAGGAAGTCGTCACGAATGAGAACGTTGAGATCAGAGTCGATGCGCGAGTGAGAACTGCAATCAGAATAAAA